GTGGATAATGATCCTTTAACATATTCTGAAGCTATTTCTTCGTCTGATGCCTCATTTTGGAAAGAAGCTATTGATGTAGAATTAAATTCAATTTTACAAAATAAAACTTGAATTTTAGTTGATTTACCTCCGGGAGCTAAACCCATTGGTTGTAAATGGATTTTTAAGAAGAAACTTAATCTGGATGGTTCCATTGATAAATACAAAGCTAGACTTGTTGCAAAAGGTTTTACCCAAAAGCAAAATATTGATTATTTTGACACCTATACTCCTGTAACTAGAATTTCCTCTATTCGTGTTTTATTTGCCTTGGCTGCTATTTATAAATTTTATATTCACCAAATGGATGTTAAAACTGCTTTTTTAAATGGTGATTTGGAAGAGGAAATTTACATGGAGCAACCTGAGGGTTGTATGGTGTCTGGCCAAGAAAATAAAGTATGTAAATTGCTAAAATCTTTATATGGTCTAAAGCAAGCGCCTAAACAGTGGCATGAAAAATTTGATCAAGTATTGATTAATGATGGTTTTTCATATATTGAAGTAGATAAATGTGTTTATACAAAATGTGTAGATGGTACATGTGTTATTATTTGCCTTTATGTGGATGACATGCTTATTTTTAGTTCTAGCCTTGATTTGGTACATAAAATCAAATTTTTCTTTTCTTCTAATTTTGAGATGAAAGATATGGGAGAAACTAGTGTTATTTTAGGCATGAAAATTATAAGAGATGGTAGTAGTTTGATGTTGACTCAAGAACATTATGTTGAAAGAATTCTTAAAAAATTTGATAATTTTGATGTAGTACCTGTAAGCACTCCTTATGATGCTAGTAGTCAGTTAAAAAAGAATAAGGGAGATGCTATAGATCAAAATAAATATGCTCAAGTTATTGGTAGTCTAATGCATTTGATGAATTTTACTAGACCTGATATTGCATATGCTGTGTGTAGATTGAGTAGATATACTCAAAACCCAAGTCATGATCATTGGAATGCATTAGTAAGAGTAATGAAATATTTGAGAGGTACCATGAACTATCGTATTAAATATAGTGGATTTTCCACTGTACTAGAAGGATATAGTGATGCTAACTGGATCTCTGATTCAGATGAGATAAAATCCACTAGTGGTTATGTGTTCACCTCGGTCAGGGGCGAAGGTACATGGTAGCAAGGGTGGACAACTGACCACCCTTCGTCGAAAAATAATACCGTGTATAAAGGTAAAATATTAGAATTTATATATATGTAATACATATTGAACACCCTTGTAACAATGAAGAACCATAGCCCAGTGTCAAAGGGTGGTCAAAACTGCCTCAGGGACGCAGGATCGAACCCGCAGCTCGACATTTTTTCATTTTTGTTGCTGTACAGTTCTTTTTAAAGATAGCAAAACAAACAACGTCGTTTTCTTTGTTTGACTTGCTTTATAGTATAAAATCGGGAATAAACAGATTACAGATCTGTATAAAACAAAAATTGGGAATAAACAAATCTAATCCCTAAAATCAAAATCCATCTCCAATTCCTCATTCTTCACGGTCTGCATCTGAAGACTGAAAGTTCTTACTGCTCTGCTCTCCACCGACTGTCCAGATTCCAGTGTCTAAGTCCAACTCGGCAACTCCATTTCGCCATTGAAGTATTGAACTGGTTCGAATTTCGCTTCGAATCTCGTCTTTTCTTTTCCTTGTTTGNTTAATCCAATAATCCATAGCCTTTTGTAGGTGGTGTATTGCACTGCAGAATACACTTGATGGATGGACCTATATGAGTGTGAAGTGGGGCCGCTTCTATGAAGTTTGTGGCGAAATTTCTAGAGCACTCATGAAAACCAGGCGTGCGCATGGCCTATTAGCGCAAAACCGCGATAAACAACATAGTGTGTGCGGGTATAATGTGATAGATAAGACATTAAACTTACAAAAGAATTTTTGGTTCATAGAAGTTTTGAACTTCACCAATTGTTCTGTAAGTTTAATCTTATTTTATCTAGGTCTGGTTCATAGTCCAAGAGACACCAGATTCGACGCATTATGCTCATTTGTAAAAACCCAGCGAAATTTTTCTTCATTATGATATTCTTTTTGAGCTATGTGGGGGATTGTTAAAAAAATACAATATTTTTAATAACTCAAAAAGAATGAGTATTTTAATATTTTTTATAACTCAATGTTTATTAACATTGAATGGGTATTGCAATCAGTTATATTTTTTGTACTGTTAAAACTGACCAGATGTCTTGACCATTTGCAAATATTAAAGTGATAATAATTTCCTTTAATCTTGAATAGGAAGTAATTATAACAGTATCCTCTTTTCTTTAATTCATTGCCTATTTACAGTGATACGTTTCATTGCCTATTTACAGTGATACGTTTTCAAATTCTTAGGCATCAGTTTTCTTATTGAATTCATGACATTTAATTATTTGCCTTATGTTTTCTTATTGAATTCATGGCATTGAATTCTTAATGATTCTCAACGTTCAGATTTATATCTTTGGTTTATATATAAACATATCAACTTGTGTTCATGGGTTGTGTGTAAAAAGCTAAAAAAATCTTTTCTTCCCTATTCTTTGTGCTGGGTTTTCTTCTCGTTAAACTTTGTTGTTTCTGCTCCTAGTTATATTAGAAGAGCTTGTTGAATCCTGGGGGATACGCCTAATATTATTTATCACGGTGTGGGCGAAATATCCTTAAGGACAGTGTCCTTGACACGCCTCAAGCTAAATATTATTCTCCATCTTCCAATTTTTTCCAACAAATCACATATCTTTAAGATCATAATATAAGTTTAACTGTTACTCGAATTTTAAGGTAAACAAAAATAATATCAGTTAGGCATATGAATGTTCCTTGAATGATTAAAAAAAGGTAGGTAATTATCAACCACCATTAGAAGAACCGTTGAAGAATCGCATTCATATATGTTGGGGTTATTTTAATTTCCCGAAAATACTTTTTTTTGATTCAAGAAATAAACACATAGTCGTTGTTTTCATGTTTTTAGATCTTTTTCAAAAAGTATGCTAATCCAAACAGGTATGCTTGAGAGATAAAGATAACTTAGTACTGGAGAATGACTTAAGCTAAATTAGGAAAAAGAAAAAGAGATTTAGGTAGTCAATGATGGTTTAAAGTTATTGAAGAAACTGAACTACCTATAAAAGATTTATGGCCCAACTCTAGAGCGAGGTCTGAAATTGTCCTGAAGAACTATAAAAATTTTATGACCAAATTGTCCAAAGGGTTCACCCAAGTTCACAGAATAATTTAGACCCAAAGGTCTAAATAAGAACTATAACAAAATGTATGATCAAACTTTAGACCATTGCTCGAAAATAATACGGAAAAGGGTTATATTTTTCCCTGTACTCTTCAAAAAGGGTTATATTTACCTCTAATTCATCGACGGCGACAACTCGGTTTAGTCTTGCTTATAGACGCTATTCAAAAATTCACTCATCTTGGCATTTTCTTAAATAAACTTGAAGGTTTTCTTCGAGTTTTAGGCTTCTGCCAGTGCTCTATTTTAAGCACTAACCTTCGTCATTAACTCCATTGTTGTGCAACTTCGCGTAATTTACTTTGGCTACCGCAATAATTGTGAGTTGTTTCACATTAGTGATTTTGAGTTAAAAGTTCTTGTTTGCCAATATGTTACCGCTGCTATCCAAAAAATATGGAGCTGAAAAAGAACTTTATCTTAAATACGTGACCATATTTAAATTGGAGGAAAAAGAAATCCTCATACGCGCCATGTAGGAAAACAAAGGTGGGCGATGGGGATTTGATGGATGAGGGGCAAATATGATCCTGAAGTATAACGGTTAGGATGAATATATCAAAAAAGTATAACAAAGGGCAAATATAACCCTTTTTGAAGAGTACAGCACCAGATATGACCCTTTACCGAAAATAATAACGTTACATTCTTTTATATTGTGTAAAACTTTTTAAAATAGGGACAAACTATAAACAAAAGCCTCAAAGGGGGCTGTTTTGCACTTCATAGGTTCAACCAATAGATTTTGGAAACCATTTTTTGGGGCGAAGTGCGCTAATAGCTACTTTTAGTAAAAATAGTACGGGCTAGCCAGTTTTTGGATTAGTCATTCAAAAATAGCCAGCGCTTGTAAAGTCATTGAAAAATAATCACTTTTTTACTGCAAAACGGAAAGTTCTTGCATAATATACTGGAGATCAGTGCACCTGTATATGAACTTCCAGCATATTATGCTGCAACTCCAACACGCGGAAAGTTCCAGTATAACATACTGGAGATTGGAACACTAATGCTCCAATCTCTAGTATATTATGCTGGACCGGTATGTTATACTGGAATATACTAGAGTTCCAGTATACTTATGCTGGAACTCCAGTATAATAATATAATATACCAGAGTATTTTTCCGGATTTTGAACAGTGTTTTCTTTCAGATTTATCTTTATATGAAAAGTGACTAAATTTAGATTACTTTTGAAACTGTGGCTATTTTTTAATTTCTTCCCTACTTTTAAGCATGCTATTTTAAATATATTTATAATTTACAATATATTTAAATATTAGCCAGGTCGTCCAAACTTCATGACTAAGTATCCTAAATTTTTGAGCTCATAATTTGAAATTCAGGACTTGATATCCTAAATTTTTGAGCTACTACTTTGAAATTCAGGACTAAGTGTCGTGAATTTCAAAACTGCTAATTTGTATTTAAGGACTAAGTGTCTTGAGTTTCTGGATTTCTAATTTAAAATTCAGGACATAAGATTCGAATTTGTGGACACAATATTCGAACTTTAGGACACGATGTCGTAATATTTGAACCTTGAAGTCTAAACTTCATGTCGTCGTATCCTAAAGACTGAAAAAATTAACTAATCTTTAAATACATTATGAACTATAAATTTATTTTAAATAGTATGCTTTAAAGTGGTAGCTGGTGTAATTTCTACGTTTTTTTGTCGTAATAAAACGGGCAATACCCAAATTCGTGATTGATAATCGACCCGGGAACGCGGGTTAAAAAAAGGCGCAGCATTTGGAGCATAGAACAGGGGCTGAGCTTTCGGATTCTGATACTGGCCATGAATTCCAGGACCGACCACCTGAGGGCTTCGATTGCCTCCAGTTCCAGGAAATCCATGGTAGAAATGCTCTAAGGGATCAGTGGAGTGTGAAGAATAATGAGTTCGAATCCAGGTTACAATGCATTAATGACACTCTTTCATTTTTGTCTATAGATTTCCATTTTACTTCAGAATACTAACAGCTTGTTTGGATGGCTGTTCCCTATTGTATCGTATCGTATTGTAATGTTATCCCAAAACAATGTTTGTTTGATTGTTTCATTAAAATTGGTTGTATTGTATTGTTAAATCTATTGTTCCGGAACAATGAAAAGTTATCTTTTTTGAAACAACCGATTTGGTGTGGTGAGATGGATTCCTATTTCTCTTTCCAATTATGCCCTAACATATTACTCCACAATTCTATTTTAGCCTTTAGCTTTTTTTGCTATTTTAACTCCAAATACCTATAACCTACTTTGTTTTTTTCCAGAACTTCTACCGCCAGCGTTAAAGGTGTTTTGCCGCCTTCTGTTTTATTTTTTCTCCTAATTTGCTTTTAACTCGATTCTAATTAGCTGTGCTCCTTTGTTTTGCCTTCTTCTGTCTCGCTCCTTTGTTCTTCTTTCTTAAGGTGTTTTGCATTCTTCTATTTTGTTTTTTAAAAATTATTTTTATGCATAATTTTTGATAAATTTAATATTTAAACAATTGAGGGTATTTTAGTAAACTTATCAGTTACAGTACAATACGATACAGTCAAACCAAAAAGCAAAGTATTATTTAACAATAACAAACAATACAATCTATCCAAACATTGTATTCATAAAACGATACGATACAATACAATACAACACATTATAAAACGACGGGGAACAATGATCCAAACAGAGTGTAAGATAAGAAAAAATGCTCCTTTTTTTTATCAGTGTAAGAAACATTAAAGAAAATCAGTAATAGAAACATTCATTCGCTTGCTAGCTAGTATGACAAAGGATCATTCCCAAAGACAAAAGTTTATTCTTAATATATCCAAAAGAATGCAGTACAATACCATACGACACAAAACGATACATTATGAAACAATATGTAACAACCAACAAAAAAAATAGTAATTTGCCCATGGTCAAACACACTGAAGAGAGAACGTTTTTGTCCACGGTTATGATGTTCGGAAAATCCCAACTGCCAGAGGTGATGGTGTTCATCTTCTTCAGGGGAATGATTCTCGAGACAACGTTGTTGATAATCAATCATCCACAGTCCTTTGAGGTCCTTAGTAAAATTCCTGTATTCTTCTGGTTTCCACCATTTTCAACTGATCATCCTTCAAGAAATCAGTTGATTTATTCACCAATTTTAAGTCCCTCCACTTCAGAAGTGAAAATCCTTTTTTTTTCCCCATGAAACCTGCTCATATTAAAAATACTATAGTTAATATCGGCATGTCTGATATCCAAATCTTGTGCAACAATTTTGTAGTGGACTCATTGGAATATGTAATTTCTCTGGTGGAATGACTTCTTAGATAGACACAAAAGTTTGATGATGACGTAAAATTGAGATAAGTGAGCTGTAGAGGCTTCAAGTTTTTGTAGATCTACCATAAGCCGAGTCTTGAAGCATGATCACTAGATTTATGAAGAGGGGGTAAGATGTACTCATACAAATAGGAGTTAAAAAGACAATTTACGTCAATTACGAGGCAAGGAGGGAGAGAGGATTCAGGATAATAAATAGGAATATTGTTTGTCCTCTTGGGTTAGGTTGGAAGTAAAAGATTATATTAAATTATATTTTTAAGGTGTGTTTGGTATGAACAAAGATGTTTCCCTTAAAAATAAGTGATTTTCTTACTTATTTTTGGTGTTCTATAAGTAACCAGAAACTATTGTTCAAAGAGCATTTATATATGGGGGTGGGGGGAGACAAGGGTGGGGTGGGGTGTTGGGGTTGGAGGATGAGACAATCAGCTGGGAATGCCACTTATGGAACTTGTTTTCTTAAAAAAAATGTTTTCCAACACATTTTGACCAACCAAATATGATAAAATTGAAAATCGTTTTCATCCATTCCAAACACACCATTAAAGAGTTGGTTCAAGATATAGACGAAAAAAGTGCTATACTCCGTGCGTGATGACTAGTGATAGATCTTAGCGGAGCTTTTGACATTGGAAATTTGAGAAGTCAAGAACCTCGTTTGAAACCGGAAATGTTCGATAAGCTTCTATAGAAATGAGAATAAAATTGTACAAACCTATCGAGTAAATGTAGGTGAACCTCCAAATTGTGGAAATATGTGAGATTGCGTGTTTCTTTTAAGGACGGAGATATCTTGTGATCCAAAATGAGCCCCTTGCCAACATGCCAGTAACACCAAGGTGTGAACAATTCTCCAAGTTTTTGAAGTGGTGTAGGAGAGTGCTCATTCAGAAAAACTCCAGGAATTGCTGGAACCTTGTCATGAATGTTTACTACTCTTAACACCTTTACTCCTAATCCCTCAAGCCTTTCTTTGAATCTGATGTTCCCAACTCTTGGCCCCGAGAATGAGCTATGTTGCTCGGACTCTCCGGAAATGTTGACGGGTGTGTGTCGGATCCTCCAAAAATAGTGTATTTTTGGAGGATCCGACACGGGTGCGGCATCATTTTGGAGAGTCCGCGCAACATAGAGAATGAGAAGACACATATGGGGATATCACGGCTATCTTTAAGTACCCGTTCTCTATTCTCTGCAATGTCATAAGCATTTAGTGTAGCTAAAGCACTTCCCAAGCTGTGACCTGTTATTGTTATGCTTAATTCCTCGATCCGATGTTGATCCTTGACTCTCTTAACTGCTGCTAAAACCTGTTCCCTTGCTGTATGGTTGCACAATTTGCAGTCCTCGTCTTTTTTCGCATCCATTTAAAAGAATCCAGCTTCAGCTTTAATTGTCCGACCGGGGCTCGGTATCTTGTAATCTCTAATTGGGTTTTGGTAGAACATGAGATCTGCTATCTTCTCAACATCTGTCACTGTTCCACGCCAAGCAATCGTTATTTCTCGTCAGCCTAAATATGCTGAATAGTTCTCATTTGATTCTGCAACATAGCCAATCCAATTTGCTTTATGACTCCAATCGTTAAGCCAACGGGAATGAGGTACTTGGAATAAATGTAGCTGTCCACATAAAAACCATGTTTTGACCAGCCAATAATATTGAAAAACAAACTCTTATCAAATTTACAGCTATGATCCAAATCGAATGCATCATAACATGATTGTGCCATATCTATATAACGTATCAGCTCTGCTCGTAAGAGGGGATCTATAGGATCAAGCATGACTTCCCAATCATTTTGACCATGGATATCTTTCCATTTGTCAGCTAGTATTGCCTTGGATTCTTTAGCCACTGCCATCTCTTCATCATCTAGCTTTGAAATTGAAAACAGGGAGTCATTCTTGGATTCAACCTTGCATCTGAAAGAGTTTCTACTAGTAACTTCTGTCTTTCCTTGCTGGAATAGCATTCTTGGACAAAATTGTATTTGGCTTCTGTCCATTTGAGAACAAAGTTATCTGTTATCCTGGAATAGTAGATGATCATTGTTTTGAGGATTGCTATAACAAGAAATGCACTTTAGGTTGGTTGGAAAAGATGTGCTTCTTGACCTGCTGGTTTTATGACTTTATATTACTCATTAAGATGACTTTAATTACATTAGGTCAGCCTAATCTATTTTTTTAGTCCTGGAGATTTTCTTGAACATGCATTACCATTTCTCCTAGTCTTGTTTAAGTTGACTAGATAATTTGGAGCCTCCAATTTTCTTCTTTAATATTCGTTGAGGTGGAATATCATTGCCTGAATATGATGCTTCTATTTTTTTACTAGTTTACTGGAGCAACGTTGAATGCTTCCAGCTACTTTAGAGATTATTTAGGCTGCTAATTGGTGTTTAAGTAACATCAGCTCGGGTATATTAGTGTTCCTTGAATGATTAAAAAAGGATAGGTAACTATCAAACACAATTAGGACGTGTTCTGTATTAGTAGGAATTGTTGTAACAGCCGAAAGTCTTCAAAGTGGTTAGAGATTCGATTTGAAAATCTTATATTGGAAGCAAGAAAATTTAGGTTTCACGAAATTTAATTTAATGGTACTCGTCATTATAGTTTTCCTATTCCTATTTTGTAATTTCGATTGGTAGCAATGGTTGCCATGCATGGCTTAAGTACTTGTACTCTGCCTGTTTACAAGGCATTTAAATTAAAATTGAGTATAATCTGTTGCATCACCATAACATTTCTTTCCTTTGACTTACGGTACATGAGTACTCTTTTTGTTAATAGGGCAAGTAAATAGTAATTTGAGTAGTGAGTACAGTCTGTTGCATCCTCTCATCTTGATTTCCTTTTAGCTACAGTAGTTGGCAGAGGTTTCAAATTGTGTTATACTGATGTTCATATGAAAAGAATGTGCAGATGGATTACAGATTGGCTAAAATGGGACACTGGACAACAAGGTGGTGGAAATTGGAATTCTCTCTCACTTCTACACCTTATAATTCTAAGCATATATAAACAATGATTGCCTCAAGTTCTACTTAATCCATTCAAAATCTTGCAAAGGATCAGTAGAATGTGAAAAAACTTGGGTTTGCATCACAGGTTAATCAAGTACCAATCAATATTTATATAGATATTTACTAGCTGCAGTGACCTCATAAATGACCCGATTGTATACTTAAACCCGATTTAGAATTAATTTTCTACCATTTTTTTCCCGATAAGTCAACTTTCTACCATTATTTTCTACATTCTTGAATTGTCCTTCGCATCTCATGGTGTTTACCCAATTTCATGATTTCCTTTGTTCAGTCAAAATATACTGCATTATTGCTGCTACTCGTTGCTCCTTCCTACTGCTATGCTTTGAATTTTACTTTCGAGGTCAATTAAGGTATTTCATGCTAGTCTTTTGTTCGTGATAGCTGTCCCTCATTTCAGCTTCCATCGGAACTTTGAACAAGTAGATAGATAAAGAGCCAAAAATATATAGAGCACCAAGAATTTCTTGAATTTGAGTGCAACTTTAAAAAAAAATATTTGAGTCAAGCCCTAAGTTACTTCAAAATTCAGTCTATCCTTTCCTTACATGAGCAGTACTTGGAATTTATACAAATTATGAAACAAAAAATGGTGAAGGCAAAAGCCAATTGCCTAGAGCCTGAAGCAATAGTCAGTAAGAGTAAAAATTGCAAGGGGCGCCCTATTTGGTCGCCCCCATTTAACCTATACCCATTTTTTTTTTTAAAAAGTTTTAACTTGTACCCACTTTTTAAACAACTTCAGCCATCTTTCTCCTCCTCCTTCTCCTCCTTCGTTTTCTTCTTCTTCTTTCTTCTGCTGCTGTTGGTGTTGCTATGAAACTTCAGTTCATGGGATGATTGCCATAAGTATGTTTATCAGATTATTTAAAAACAAATTATAAATAATTACGTAAGTTAGTAGACAATAATTTGTGAATATTTTCACGTACGGGAAGTTTAAGGTCACACTTAGTGATTCTTTTCATGATAATTCTGTTCTTTTCACCTTTTTTGTTTCCAAAATTTATGATTTAGATACTGTTGACAATCTGATTATTTTATAGTAGTAATACACTATGAAAGAATAAGGTGATTATTTATCTAGTATGTTACAAAGCTTTTTAAAAAACTTCAGCTTATATAGTGCTGAAATTTTTACAAATGAACTAAATAACTTTAGCATCTTCTGCTGAAGTTTTTGAAAAAGCTTTATGACAAAACTAATGAATCCAGGACAAAAAAACTTCAGCTTATTTAGTGCTGAAGTTTTTACGAATGAACTAAATAATTTCAGCATCTTCTGCTGAAGTTTTTGAAAAAGCTTAATGACAAAACTAATGAATCCAAGACAAAAAAATTTCAGCCTATTTAGTGCTGAAGTTTTTACAAATGAACTAAATAACTTCAGCATCAACAAAACTTCAGCTACTAGAATGCTTAAGTTCAGCAATTACAAATAAAAACTTCAGCAAATAGAGAAGAAAACTTCAGCACTAGAATGCTTAAGTTCAATAATTACAAACAAAAACTTCAGCACACTTGGTTCAGCAATTTTTGCTACTTCAGGCCCGTCTACTAGAATGCTGAAGTTTGCGTGATTGCCTTTGCTACTTCAGGCCCGTATGCTGAAGTTATGCGAAAAAGTGGGTACGCTTGCAATTTTTTTTGCAAAGCGGGTACAAGTTAAAATGTGACTTAAAAAGCGGGTATAGATGCAAATGCCCCTCAGTAAGATATGTTCGAGGAACCACATTCCTCAGAGCCAATTTGTAGTGGACCCATATTATGTTGAAATGGATAACAGGAATCACATACACAAATATAGGAGTCCATCTACAAATAGTTACAAATACTTAAAACAAGTAACCAAATCTTCCATAGGAAGAAGAAATAAAAAAAGGGAGAAGGGAGGGAGGTTCCAGATCTATCCTCTAAGAAACTAAGGAAAATAAAATACACCAAGTTCATAGCATAAGCCTAATAGAATGTATCCTATTGTATATATAGGTATCTGCTCCATCTAACCCGGGTCCCAAATGTAATTTGCTAAGTTCCCAAGTGTGCCCTCAACCTTAGTCTTTTGGTCATTTTGATTCATAACAATTTCCCCGCCCTCAAAAAGAACCTTGTCCTCAAGGTTCGAGTGGATCAATGTGAGTATCTCAGTAGTGTCAAGCTGCAAAACAGTACAACTTAATTTGTCAAGACTCAAACATTTGTCGAGAGTTGTTGCAACAAGAGAGATGTCATCATTGTCTTCCTGGTCAATCCAACGGAGGAAATATAGAAATATCCGCAAGACGATGATAACATTCAACAAGGAATCCCAAGTGACATTAGCATTGTGAACTCTCTTTTCACTTGATTCGTGCGTAACATGAAATGTGCCAATAATAAGTTGATTTGCCTCCTCAATGCTGCTAAAGTCTTCCAGAATCTTAACTGGTGCATCCAATGGAAATCTAGTCAAGAAACGACACTTGAATAGACAAAGTACATGATGAAATTTCTTGAGCACATCAAATGAAAAGTTAAACTTGAGGGCCTCTCTTAGATTGTTGTCATCCTGGTGCAGAGAGATATCATATGCTAGTGGTAACAATCTTCTAGATACAAAAGCATCTCCAACACTGAAGATGCCCACAGAATCCAGCTTTAAAACCTTAACTCGTCCACAGAATTCTTTGGTATAATGGAAACAAACTTCACGGCCTTTTATGACAAGTAACCTCAGATTTGGACGGCACAACTTAGGAACAACAACATTATAATGTGAATCTTCTCCTTGTGCCAAAAAGTAATTCTCCTCTTCACTTATCTTAATTACATCAACAGTTCCACATATGCCAAGGATAGCTTTTCTAGCACCTGATGCCAATAGCTTCAAATTGGAAACAATGGAGAAGACCACATTAGCATTCTTAGCAGCTTTTGTAGCATGAAGCTGGACTGATTTGTAAGGTTGAGCAACTGTTTTTGCAAATATTATTTTGCCAACTTCAGGCTCTCTATAGAGAACGATCCATGTAAGAGGCTGGATACCAATGTCTTCAGACAGCTTGGGGTGAGTCAAATGACACTCAACGACTTCTTTAATCTCCTGACTCTGCGCGTCTAATCCACCAAAATCAGCATATAACTCTGAAGGAGGTTTTTCAACCTTCATGACAGACACCACGGCATCGACTTCATCTTGTCGAAGCCCAACAACAGATAGAACCTTTGTATGTATCCAAGTAGCACGAGGTTCGAAATGGTCTTTTTCCGCAAAGGACAAGATCTCAATGTGACACCAGTACTCGAGTTTCTGCCTAGTGTCAATGAATTCAGTGTCATTCAAACCTCCATTATCTAAAATCCAGGTACCTAGTTTACTGCGTAAATCAATTGGGAAAGAATTTCCATCTTTGTGGCATATCCGTGCATGTATTTTCGACACCTCAAACCATATGCCATCAGCACCAACCAAAAGATCACCTATGTATTGCTGTCCATTCTCAAGAATCACAGTAACCTCATCCCCGCAGACTTCATTGAAAGTACAAGAGGGGGGGGGGGTGAATTGTAAATACTTCCAATTAATTACTTATAAGTTGACTTAAAACTTGAGTAGTCGGCTGAATATGATAATTTAGCAGATATGGTAACGGAAAGTAAAATGCAGAGAATAATTGCAGGAATTAAAAACACCGGAATTTTTATACTGGTTCGGATTCAATGTGAATCCTAATCCAGTCCCCTTGGGTTGCAAGGGAGTTCTCTTCAGTAAATGAGTTTCTTCCGAGTACAGATGTGGTGTATATCGCTCAGTTTCTCTAGCACTCGTTTTTGATACAATGCCTCACCAGTTGTGTGCTCTCTTTCTATCCTTGACTTGTTGCACAGCAGATCTTAGTGAACTACAATGCTTGTTTAAAGTAGAATAAAGAGAGTGATTTGGTTTGATCAAAGTATGTCTAAGCTAGGGTTTACAAGGGTGTATAAATACTTTGATGGATGGTAGAGGCTTGACAACCCAAGAGATTTGATCCTTGGAAAGAATTGATTCTTTCCAAGAATAAGGAATGAGCCGTTGCTTCTCTTGATTGCTTTCCTTTAGCAGAAGATTGCTTCACTTGATTTCTCCTTGATTGTTGGATCTTCCAAATGTGGCCGCTTTCCAGATCTCCTCGTATCCTTTAGTCTTCCGTGATTCTGCCCATGATTCGTGCCTTTGACNCAGATCATCGTGTAACTCAGCAACACCCTTACTGTCATCGTAATGGACAGTGATTCTCTCAAGCTGGAGAGCAGAATCACCATTCAATTGGCTGGTGGAATCAATGCCATGCTCATTATAAACAACTTCCCAGAACTTCGGGCAGTAGCTTCCATTGGACATTATGTCGAGCACCTGGTGTCCAAGACTTGCACAATACCCAGGAGACGAGTCTGCTATGGGATTTTCCAACATTTCAGGAGGTACCTTGGAATTGTCCAGCAAGCCTGAAATTTCGGCGATCAAATCAGAATCATTGTTGCCGACACAGACTATCCCAGCACAGCCCGTTGTATCTTCTACAGTGACCTCCTCTGATTTTGCATCGTCCAAAGCCATGGAGTTCAATTGCAGCTCCTCCTGCACCAGTGATTGTATACGGCAAATGGAAGAGATCATACAAGAATTACTTTCTTGCATAACTGTCACCAGTTCTTGCAGAGCCTTCACCGATTCGAAGAGGTTGTTGAATTGAGCGTTAGGCATGGTAGAATGGTAGAGAGGCATGGAGTAAGAACAACGAGAGCACCAATGTAGTGAACTCATATTATATTGAAATGGATAACAGGAATCACATACACAAATATAGGAGTCCATCTACAAATAGTTACAAATACTTAAAACAAGTAACCAAATCTTCCATAGGAAGAAGAAATAAAAAAAGGGAGAAGGGAGGGAGGTTCCAGATCTATCCTCTAAGAAAATAAGGAAAATAAAATACACCAAGTTCATAGCATAAGCCTAATAGAATGTATCCTATTGTATATATAGGTATCTGCTCCATCTAACCCGGGTCCCAAATATAATTTGCTAAGTTCCCAAGTGTGCCCTCAACCTTAGTCTTTTGGTCATTTTGATTCATAACACAATTTGCACAAATAGCCACCTTTTAGCAGAGTATTTTGAAGTTGTCCGCTTTTTCAAAATTAGACCAATTCTCTGACTATTAATATTGAATTTTAAACTTAGATCAGTTGACCACTTACCAACTCTGAGGAATGTGGTTACTTCAAGTATATCTATTATTGCAATTGGATTATGCCTTCACGATATTTGCTCATAAGTTTTCCCGAAATACTTGCCTAGGTAAAAGAAATGATAAAATGAGAATTTTGACTTGATTCAAATATTTCTTTCAAGCTATATTCAAATTCAAGCAAATCATGGTTTATTCTACAAACTTTTTGATTCTTTATCATTTTTGTCTCAAAAGTTCCAATAGAAACTGAAATAAGAGACAGGTATCATGAACACAAGACCAGCTACAAATACTTTAACTGACATAACCAGCAGAACTTTTGAAGAGTGGGTTTTATCCACTCTTATGAATTTTAAATTTGTTAGTCCAGTCCACGGTGATGGTGTACATCTTCTTCGGGAGAATCATTCTTGAGACAAACTTGTTGAGGATCAATCATCCACTGTCCTTTGTGCTGCTTAATAAGCTTTCTATATTCTGTTTCCCACCAGTTTGGTGGAACCAACAAATCATCCTTCAAGAAGTCTGTTGTTTTGTTCACCAAAGTTTTATCCCTACTACTCGCAAGCCAAAACCTTCTTCCTTTCCCATGAAACCTGCTCATATGAACATAGAGTAGTTAGTCGTATGTCCAATTCAGATGCTTGTGCAACAATTTTGTAGAGGCCATAATGAAGCATGATTACTAGGAGTACTTCAGCTATATAAGTTATAAAGTGGGGGTAAGTGTGTACAAAATAGGAGAAAAATTAAAATTTTACAGCAATTAAATGAGCAAGGTGGGAGGTGAGAGAACACGAGTGAGGCTAGCACCTCCCACCTCAGCTAGTAGGTACGAGTAACACGAAGGGTAAGTAGCAACACTTATCCTCCTAGGTGAAATGGATGGGCTTTCTATAATATAAGAAAAACGAAAGAAACGATGGGGTCGGAGGGGAGGAAGCAACAGTACAATTTTAAAGAGTTAGTACTTAATATTAGAAATATTTGATGAGCCCCTAGAATTTTTTCTAGTGGTAAGAGCGGAAAGCGTGATGTGTGGATTAGGCACACGTCACGAGTTCGAAACCCCCTGCGGTCAAAAGGCCAAGTATTTAAGCGGAGACAGGTAGAGGACATCTATCGAGTTCGAATCGTCCGACATCTGACCTTAGGAGATTTCTCAGTCATGAAAAGTTGGAAATATTTGATGAACTTGTATAGAAATGAGAAGAAGTTCTTACTATCAGGAGCAACTGATAAACTTCTATAGATATTAAATGAGAAGAAAGTTATACTAACCCGTCGAGTAAATGCAGATGAACCTCCAAATTGTGGAAGTATGTGAGATTATCTATATCTTTCAAGAAAGGGGATGTTTTGTGATCCAAAACAAGCTCTTCTCCAACATGCAAATAACACCAAGGTAAGAACAATTCACCAACTTTTTGAACAAATGTAGGAACATTCTCATTTAGAAAAATCCCAGGAACTGCTGGAACTTTGTCATGTTTATTTACTATTCTTAACACCTTCACTCCTAATCCCTCAAGCCTTTGCTTAAATCTGATATTCCCAACTCTTGGCCCTGAGAATGAGAACACACATATAGGTATAACGCGACCATCTTCGCGTACATCTAGTCCAATCTCTGCAATATCATAAGCATTTATTGTAGCTAAAGCACTTCCCAAGCTATGTCCTGTTATTGTTATGGTTATTTCATCATTCGAGTATCTGTCTATCAGTCGCTTCACTTCATCCAAAACCTGTTCCCTTGCTGACACCTTACAGAAGTTGCATTCGTCGTCTTTGCTCGTGTAGATTTCCAAGAATCCTGCTTCAACTTTTATGGTTGGATCGCGACTAGGAATCTTGTGATATCTAGTTGGTTTTTGAAAATCCATGAAATCTGCTATCTTTTCTAGATCAGTTACTGTGCCACGCCACGCAATTGTTATGTCACGACGCCCTAATTGTGTCGAATATTCATCATTTGATACTGCAATATAGCCAATCCAATTTGCTTTGTGACTCCATGCATCAGGCCAAAGAGGTATTTTGAAGAAACTTGGTACATTAATATGGTACATGGAATAAATATAGCTGGTTACATTATAACCATGATTTGTTGACCATCCTAAACTCTGGAAAAATAATCCAGGATCAATTTTACAGCTACCACAAAACTTAGAATCTTGATCTAAATCGAATGCATCGTAACATGCTTGTGCCATCTCACCATAGCGTATTAGCTCTGCTCGTAATAGAGGATCGATAGGATCAAGCATCCCTTCCCAATCGTTTCGACCATGAATATCTTCCCATTTGTCTACTAATTTTGCCTCTTCATTGTCATAAACTTTGTTTTTCTTGTTAGCAGAATTGCAGGGTAAGGCTGTGTACGATAGGCCCTTGTAGTCCGGTCCTTCCCCAGACCCCGCGCACAGCGGAAATTTAGTGCACTGGGCTGCCCTTTTTATGTCTGATATGGGATAGGAAGAAACATTCTTTGGTAAAACCTTGAGAGAGTAATTTCTAGTAGTAACATCTTTTCCTGGCACAGAGAAAAAGAATATAGTTGCTGGACTAGGATTTTTATTGTACAAAATCATGTTTGGTTTTTGTACATTTGTGAACAAAGATATCCTGGAATTGGACATGATCACTGTTTTGTGTAGATAGAATATTTGTTGTGTTTGGGATTAACAATAAGAAGAATTGCACTTAGGCTGGTTGAGAAAATTAAAGATTGTGTGGTTTCAGCCTGTTGGTTTGATGACTTTATATTACTTAAGTCTATCTTTTTTATTCTCTGAAATGAAATATTCATGAATATCATGCCTCCATTGTTGTTTGACTTTTTAAAGTTGACTTTATAATTTGGAGTTTCCTATATTGCTTTTCTAATTTCCTTAAGTTGGAATATCGTTGTCTTTAATCTGATTCTTCTATTTTAATGGTTTAATAGTCATTGTTCTAGCTACATTAGAGATTAAATTAGGTTGGTAGTTGTCTTTCAAGTTTATAACTTAATTAGTCTTTTTCTTTTTCTTTTTAAACTAGTCCGATTGAACAGATATAAAGTGAGGTTAGGTTTTGTCGTGGGAACCTTGGAGCATCAGTAAAGTTTGTTATGTGTGAGTATTGGGTTCGAACCGTGGAATCAGATAGGCTGCTTACATTATACCTTCTTGCGGTACGAAAACGAGAAGTATCATCCTCTTTGGAGCAGGAATATATGTTTTTTTTTCTATATGATTTAATAAAAAGACCCTATTAGAGAGTCAAGAAGATTAAATATTTTGGTAGATAATGTTGACTATTTCTTGTTAAATGGTACACTTAAATTATTCTACCTATGTTCACGTTAATTTGAATAGTTTCTATTGGTCGCAAAGGATGATAATTACGTACAAGCTTTGACGTATGGTGCATGACGTAAAATAGTTGTTAAGCAGACAATTAAATATTAATTTAATAGTTTCTATTGGTCGCAAAGGTTGATAATTAAGTTGATTGATATAGTCCAATCCTTTTAATTTAAAAAACTTTTTACGTAATTTTTAAATATATAAATTTTATTTCAAAATATTTAAAGATTTTATATCTAAATTCATAGTCTAATTTTTAAGGTTTGACTCTCGAAATTCGAACGTCACCGTATAAATAGGATAGAGGAAGTACTATTAATACATAGCATTTCAGACAAAATGAAAAAATGTGAAGTATTAGTAGGATTATTATAAGGGTATTAAGTGGTTAGCTTCAAACTATATGAACTATATCAATCAACTTAACTATATTAGATGGGTGTTTAAAGTCATTTAAACTTTACTGAAACATGGTACATAAAGCTCAGAAATAATCATTTTTTCAGACTTGTAATTGAAAATAGCCATAGATTCAAAAACCATTAAGGAATACTCAATTAGTGTTATAGATTTCGAAATTAAATAAATAAAACTCCGTAATAATATCTTGGACGAAATTCAGGACAATGAAATGGAGTTTCACTTTTTTTAAGTTCAAAATCCAGTACACTATCATGGATTTTAAAATCAGGACAGTATCATGAATTTTTCACTTGTTTAAGTTCGAAATCCATGACTGTCATGGTATTTTCGCATTAAAAGTGGCTACTTTTTGAAGAACTTTCAAAAACAACTAAAAAGTGGCTAGCCCATACAAATTTTACCATAAACTTGCTGCAAATTTTATTCTGGGCCAATTTGAGCAAGGCAGTCCTCGTAAATCACTTCATTAGACCTTATTGAGCTCCTCACGCTAGCTCTGACAATGTAATTGTAGGAATCTTTATACAAATAACCGGCACCGTTTACTTTTTCTAATCAGTATAATTATACAATAATTACTATACATAAATTATACATATGCTGGCTATTTTAAGTTTAAGCGCTTGGGTAAGCAGCTATTTAAGTTAATTCCTCGTAATAATATTGATGGATCCGGCCTAATCTGATTGTTGGGCACAAAGCCCACACGATATCCTCTATCTTAACTAGGGAGAAATTCAAAAACAGCCAGATTTACAAGTGATCATTCAAAAATAGTCACAGTTTCAAAAGTAATTGAAATTTAGCCACTTTTCATGTAAAGATAAATTTGAACGAAAACACTGTTCAAAATCCGAAAAAATACTCCAATATATTATACTGGAACTTCCTGCGTGTTGGAGTTCCAGCATAATATGCTGGAAGTTCATACACAGGTGCACCGATCTCCAGTATATTATGCTGGAACTTTCTGTGTTGCAGCAAAATAGTGGCTATTTTTCTATGACTTTGCAAATACTGATTATTTTTGAATGACCAGTCCGAAAACTGGCTAGCCCGTGCTACTCTTCACTAGTAATCTGGGCTTGAAAGTTGAAACAAGCAATCGAAGTCCATAAAGATAATCAAAATTAACAGGAAAATTGCACTTTAGTCCCTTGATTTTAAGGGCATCTATAATTTTCTTCTGTACACAGTATAAAAGTTTCAAACTGGGGAAAGTTTCATAACTGAACAATATCAAAATGAAATATAACATATTTGTAGCAGTAAACCAAATATTTCAAATTTGGCCAAAGAAAATTTACGTTCAATAATTAAATATCCAAAAATAGACCATTGACCGAGAATCACGTCCAATTATTATTCCAAGAATCTCTCTCAAGAATCATGCATAGAGTAAAAATAGACCCCCAACAATTCCCTTCCTTTCGGGGACTCTTTATTTTTTTAAGACAAAAAAATAAAGATTTCTTTTGAAAACTCTACAAAATTCTAAAAATATTATAGTATATATATATATAATATATATATATATATATATATATATATATATATATATATATATATATATATATATATATATATATATATACATATATATATATATAATATCAATATGCAAATATGTATTTTATGCACATCACGTGTATATTTATATATTATACCACGTATATGTAGTATATAATGTGTATTTTAAGTGCATCACATGTATTTTTATATATTATACTTAAAATATATAGTAATATATAATATGTATAAAGAACTAGGTATTAGTATCAGTATCTCTACGCCAGTGGGTACGCCCAATGAGTGTCGCCCACGTAGCGGGTACGACTAAGCCGTGAGGACCAAAGCGACGTCGTTTAGAACTCAGCATCTATACTAGGGAGACGTTACCTATCTCTGTAACTTTTTGATTCTTTCGAGGAAGGTCTCTAATACAACTCTCTCATTTTCTGTCTTTCTCTCTCTATATCACCACTTCTGACGAAAATATCTTATTAACATACATTGTCACTTTGCAATATTAGATCTACAA